GAGCTATATCTAAATCTGGACTAATTTTCACGAAACTTAGCACACATCATTCTAGACCTTATTCATTACGCTGTGCCAAATTTTGTGCACATCGTAAGATATATAGGGACTTTGGTACACCATATACCTTAAATCGGACGAAAAAATATATGGCAGCTATATCAAAATCTGAACCGCTTTTTTCCAATTTTAGTAGGGTTCGTCCTTAGGTCAACAAAGTGCGTTTGTTTACAATTTAACATGGACAGACGGACGGGCGGACATGCACGACTCAGAATGTGATTTTATGCATGGTTCATGGGCCTATATCGATTATTTTTGCCTGTTACAAACATATGCACAAAGACATAATACCCTGTACCATTGTGTGGTGAAGGGTATAAAAATGATTGGTTTTGATTTGTTCTTTTATTTGACTGGTTATGTGATGTGATGGGTGTGTTTATGGGAGAAAACATATTTTTGTATATATTGGTTTTAGAGTCACGTTTTATGTGAAAATGAAAGGAATGAAAACCATTTGTGAGGATTAATCGAAATTTTTAAATTTGTATTTTCTTTATTATAAAATTTGCATTTAAACCCAAAATAGAAAAATTAAAAACTTTGTGCAGGCATCAGGGACAAATAGTTTACCCCTAATCCTAATTAAATTGCTTCACAATTTATTCCATGATCATTGAAGTACTTTGTCAAGGAATGAAGTACTAGGTCTATCAAAATATTTTCCACCTCAAGTGTAAAACAATTATTTCAATACAACCCCCTTAAAATAAATTAACCTGAATAATATTTCATGTGGAAAATCCCACAATTTTCACAATTATTTTACTTTTGTTTCCTCCCCAAAAATACCTTAAATTCCCTATGCAACTGGCACCAATAAATCCGACTTCGTATAAAAAAGCTACTCCCCAAATTTAAACTCTCTCCCTATGACTCGTTAAACAGCTTATTAAATTTGCGGAATACAAGAAAAAAACGAAATAAGTAGAACAAAATTTCCCACGAAAATACGTACCGGACAACAGACAATACAACAACAACCAAATATAACACTTAAAGAAAAAACTCGATAACGTTTTTCCCTACTTTACATTTAACCCCAAAAAACAACATTTCTGCTCTGCTCTATTTACCAACAAGAAACAAATAAACACATTAACAACCTATAGAGAGTTATTACGAGTTTTTTCACTCTTCGTGAGTTTTTTCTTTCGGTTTTTATTGTAAATCACTGCCCGAAATGTTTCATCGTGCTGACCAATTTTTAATGCTGTTTTTTGGTGCGGAATAGAGGAGAGGAGAGTACATGAGATAATCAGGCTACGTGGAAAATGAAATGGAGGGAATGAAATATAATAGTGTTAAATAAAAAAGTAGTAATGGTTCAATGGTAGTGAGGGAAAGGTGGTGATATAAAACGAATTACAGGAAATACTACTTCATAACGTTTTGGAGTTTCAGGGCAAATCGTAAAAACATGATATTGAATTCCATATAAACGGGATAATAATAAAAATAAATCCTTTAATTTTAGAGTTAGTCATCACCAGTTCCAGCAATAGTTCCTTTAATTTTAGATTTAGTCATCACCAGTTCCAGCAATAACTACAAGCCAGATTAAGATACGATAAAATGCCTATAATCAAATAAGATGATAAGTTTGGTCTGGCCAAAATTGTATGGCCTCCAGGTGATATATAAGACGAAACACCACCGAGATAGAAGACGAAACACCAACTTGCAGACGTGCAGGTTGTACTGGCGTGGCGTTAAAAAAGATGTCTGAAATCCTCAATACACAAAATAGTGGTGCTTATATCAAAGCGGGAATCAATATTGACTAGTGTTGAGAATTTACAACAATTGGGAACCCACAATATAAAACCAAACCAAACTCCCAACTTTAAGAAGTTGACGAATATATTTGGTTGGAATATTTCCAGTTAAAACATTCCCAAATTCCCAAGTACCCCGAAACATGGGACAATATTGATGGTTTCTGTGTAGAGATTTGCTGTAAAATGAAAACCCTAAATACTAAATTACAGCCAACTATGCTGAAAATGATCCTCTCTCTCTAATTTTGCAATCTATATCGCTATTTCAAGAGAGAGAGAGAGAGAGATGTGTAAATCGACACAGCACTTTATTCTGATCAAGAATATATAATTTATAAAAAAGGCAAAAGGAAGCGAGATAGACCCACAGTTCCTATTGTGCATAGAACGTACAGGTCGCATTTATGATCCGATTTGGATGAAATTTGGCATAGGTCACTTATTTGGCCCAAGGACGACCCCTATTGAAATTGGAAAAATCGGTTCAGATTTAGATATAGCTCCCATATATATTTTCGTCCGATGGTCCACCAAAGTCCCTATATATCTTTCGATTTGTACGAAAGTTTGCACAGCGTAGTGAATTAGGTCTGGAATGATGTGTGTTAAGTTTCCTGAAAATCGATTCAGATTTAGATATAGCTTCTATACCTGACCAAATGAAAAATTTAGTGTCGGTTGCAGAATAACATGTTTATGGATCCATTTTCATTTTAGCGGTCCTTTAAAACTGCGATGAATCCTAATACATTTTTTGAATATACCGAAAGTGGTGAAGGGTATCATATAGTCGGCCCCGTCCGACTTTACTGCTTTCCTTAATGGTTTTTAAATAAGGCATGGCTGTGGAAGTTCATGCCTTTGACTCTGAAATTATTTTAAAGCTATTCTCAAACCAGTGAGCGGAACAGTATAGTCGGACGGGGCCGACCATATGATACCCGACACAACTTCTATGAACATCTAACTTTCTGTGTCACCACATTCTGAGCTTGGGCAATATTTCGCAATGTTTGCACCCTCTTGACCCACTAGAGGTCAACAAATATTACTACTATTCTGTACAATTACTTGTCCAGATTCCCTTCAACGTGGGTTGTTTTGTGATTTTCGGCTTTCACTTGTGACCTGTATATCGACTCGAAAAAAAAATACGTTTTCGGTCCACTTCATCCCAATATTATTATCTGATCATCACCCGAAATTATAGGCATTGTCCTTGACTATACCTGGATACTAGTGAAACATTTCAAAGCGGTAATGGGTTACTAAATAATATCTGAGTACGTAAGCACCTGTAAACATTTAAGTGTAACTCCCACATCCGAGTACACATCACAATAAATTTGGTATCAATTTAAAGGTCAGCCACTCCTCTTGCGTGCACTATAAACTTCTCGGGTCTATGTCCTTCAGGGGTAAATCTATACGCTATAGGATACAAATATTGTAATTTTTCACACAAAGGTCAGGGTCCATTTGACCTGCTAAATATTGACCTATCTTTATCAAAACAGCCATGCTTATCCTTTGGCCCGATCCCCTTCTCCATGCAAAAATTCACGATGCGCCATAATTGCGGCCTCTGGAGCAACCAGAAAAACAAAAATAAAGGTTTTGGTTCATTGCATACCCTAAATATTAACCGATCTTTTGCAAAAACAATAGGGGTCTTAATTGGCCACAACCCATCCTACATGCAAAATTTCGTGAAGAAGTTATTTAAAAACTATTCTTAAGAAATATACGCATTAGGCTTTGGAAGTGTTTTTTGAAGATATTCCTAAACCAGTGAGCGGAGCAGTATAATCGGACGTGGCCGACCATATGATACCCTACACAACTTCCACGAAAATCTAACTTTCTGCGGTACTACATTCTGAGCTTGGGCAATACTTCGCGATATTTACGCCCTCTTGACGACAAGAGGTCAACAAATATTATTATTACTAATATTCAGTACATCCCTTCTAATTACTTGTTCAGATTTCCTTCACCGTGGGTTGTGTTGTGATGTTTGGCTTTCAATTGTGGCCCAAAGATCGACTCGAAAAAACACAAAATTTAAGTTTTCGTTCCACTTCATCCCAATATTATTTTCTGACCATCACCGAAAATTATAGGCGTTGTCCTTGACCATAACTGGAACCTCATGCTACATTTCAAAGTGATCTGTGCTATATTTCCGCCCCTAGAGTGGCAATAGGTTACTAAATAATATATGAATACGTAACCTGTAAATATTTAAGTGTAACTCCCACACCTGAGTACGTACGACCATATTATTGGTATCAATTTAAAGGTCAACCACTCCTCTTGGATCAGTTTCTCGGGGTCTATGTCCTTCAGGGGCAAATATATAGGCAATAGAATACGAATTTGGTAATTTTTCACACAAAAGTCAGGGTCCATTTGACCCGCTAAATATTGACCGATCCTTATCAAAACAGGCAAGCTTATTCTTTGGCCCGACCGCCTTCTCCATGTAAAATTTCCCGATGTTCGCGCCGTAATTGCGGCCTCTAGAGCGACCAGAAAAACCGACAAATATTTAGTATTTGGTCCATTTCATCCCCTAAATATTATGTGATCTTTACCAAAAACAATAGGGGTCTTCATTGGCCAGAACATGCAAAATTTCATGAAGATTGGTCCATAACTGTGGCCTGTATCGTGTTTACAAATTATAATGGACGGACGGACGGACACAAATGTCTAGATCGACTCAGCTAGTCGAGATATGACGATCGGTATACTTAAAAGTGGGTCTAGGACCAATATTTCGCGGCGTTACAAACATTTGGGGCTGCACAAAGCTATAATACCCTGACAACATAGTTGTGTAGGGTATAAAAAGCCAAGCCTTTGTATTCTTTTAAAAATATTCTTAGAAAATCCATGCCTTTGGCTCCGAAAATGCTTTTGAAAATATTCTTTAAAAAATCCACGCCTTTATCTCGGGAATCGAATTTTTTGGCTCAGGAAGTTCTTTAAAAAGGTTCTTAAAAAAAGTCACGTCTTGCCACGAAATTGTAGGAGGTTTGTATTTTAAGATTTTCAGAACTTAATTTTCCATTTCAAAATAAAATTTATTGTCACATACTAAAGAAGTGTAGTATATGTAAAACTTAACAAAAAATACAGTGCAACACTTACCTCGATTTGAAATGGCAGCTTCAGCGGTATTCCACAACAGACACGAGTGCAGCAAACAAATGAGGCTAATTACAATTAAAAAACGTCGGCAATACTTCTTTACTTGCGAATACAACAACAATGATGATGGCAACGACGACGACATAGATGTGGAGGCAGATGCTGATGTCGAATATGCTGCAGTTCGTCGTCGTGAAGATGCAGTGGTGGTGACGGTATTGGTTATGCTCGATGCCAAAATGCCACCAAAAAACGACGCTGACGATATTATGGGTTGTGACGGTGGCAATGTTGGTAATATTTCTGTTGTTGTTGCTGTTTCTGTTCTGTTGCCAGCATCATAAAAAGAAAGTTCCGATATTTTACTATTGCCTCCTGCAAATGGTGGTGTGTTGTTGTCGATAGTGGTGGTGGAGCCATTCATGGCTGTGATACTGCTGGAGGTCTTACTCATAACATCGGTAGCAACAACTTTTGGAATGTTGTGAACAACAGCACGCTTAAAAGGCATTTGATTCATTCTGCTGCTGGTGTTGTTGTTGTTTTTGTTAATATAGGATGTGTTGTTGGTGATGCTACTGGAGTATGCGGTGCCTGTTTCTGTATTGCTATTTGTATTTTTATTATTAGCTAAAGTTGTTGCACATGTACAATTTTCTACCACTTCTACTTCTTGTTCTTCTTTGTCTGTGTGTTTTTCTTCCTGTGTATGTTGGCGTTGTTGCAGTTGCTGTTGAGTGGCCTGAAGTGCTGCTTTGATGCTGCTGTGATGTTGATGTTTCTTCTGCCGTTGTACAATTAAAGGCATTGTTCTGTTGAAATGTTCAAGTAGCGCGGGATATTGTGAACAGAAAAATTGACCAACAATAACACAGAAACTATGTGATTTTTTGTTGTATACTACAAATTATTGTTTTTTTTTATTTCTCGGTTCAAGTGCTTTTGTTATTGTGTTTTTGCTTTTTTCAGATTTCTTCTGTTTATTTTGTTGCTAATTAGATTTCATAATAAAAAGACGAAGTCATTGTTTTTCTTCGCATAGTTTTTTAAGGTTTCCGTTATTTACTCTGTTTTTTATTTTCATTAAAGATTTATCGAGTTCTCTCCTTTTTTGTGTTTTGGTAGCCTCAAGCTTTTGAGGTTTTTATGTTTTATAATGAAAGCAGATGAAGATTGCAGAACATAATGTTTGCTCTCAATTTTCTTTTTTTTTCGAAGAAATCACTTTTGTCCTGACTTGGTTTAGTTTGTTATTGAATTGTACGGCAGTGCGGTTTCAATTAAAATATATATCTGAAAATAGAAGAAAAGATAATTAGTTATTAATTAAATAAATTAATGGGAAAATGTGGATTGCAGATGATAGACAACTTCATAAGAGTTGTATCCTCCTAAGATAAGAAGTGAAATTGACAACAATTTAGATCGGAACACAAGTCTAACGAAAAATTATTCAATTCAGTTTATGGTTAAAGATAAAATATTTTTTAAAAAGAAGTTCCATAGGCTATGACATAAAAAATTCTGAAGGCAATATTCAGATTGACACAAATGTAAAAATTGGTAGAGACAAAATTGCCACAACTTCTCTATTGGTCGGAGAACACAATTTTTTTCTCTGAAATAAGAAATTCAATTAGGAATAGTTTACTAAGAGCAACATATAAGTATCTAACCACAGTTGGTTTCTTGAAGATAAATTGGTGTATATATTCGCAGTATTCCAAAAAACCCGACTTCAAGCGAATAATGATATTTACATTTGTTGGCATAAAGCTTCCATACCCAATCAGGATCCCCATTAGTAAACACATTATTAATTCTATTATAAAAAATATTAAAAACTCCTAAAAATGGACATACACGGTCATTTTTATGGAGGTTTTCTACCCACTTAGAACTGCTTCTTAATATCATGATCAATTCAAACAGACGATTCTGTGGTAAGAGTAACTTTTTCTAGTGTTCTATTCGCAATTGTGTACACCGTTGCGTATCATTACTGAAGTTAATCATACGCACTCCTTGCCGATACGTTTCAGTAATGAAAAATAATGTCAAATACTAACACCATAGTATTCATGAAATAAAATCGAAGTCATGGCCATTGGGGTGGATAATTCCTATTGAAGATGAAATACGTTTTTGAGTATATGAAAGCCCCAGAAGAAAAAAATTATTACAGATCAAAGTTCGGAGATATCGCGTGATAATTTTTGCTAACAATCTTGTTATAAATGAAGAGATTTCTCATTATCTTGACTTGTATCCAATATATGGAGTAAAATCCTTCTAACTCGATTCCTTGTGTATCCCTTTCGTTCTGAATTTGTTTAACGGGACTCCAATTATGACGTACATTGTTATTTAAGGAAGTTTCTTACCCACTAAGAACTGTTATCAATACCATACTCAAATCGATTCGTCTTCGATTCACAAGTATGACCTTTGAATGAATGCAAAATTTACAATTACAATCCTCTAAATGGTAAAAGTGCTTATAACGATGTAGTTGTACACTGTTGGGTATTATTAGTCATACGCACTCCGAAAATGTTTCAATAATAAACAAAAACGTCAAAATAATATTTGTATAATGTAGTATAATTTAATATTTATTGTCGAATAAATTCAAAATTCTGACAACCAGTAAGATCTTGCATCCTTGGCATCGAATTCTGATGTACGCAGTTTCTACTTTATTCCTATGTTGTACATATTAGCGTATAACTATTGTCGGTAGTCATACGCCACATTGTAGCATAATCTAAATGTTGCCGTTTATATATATTGTCAGAAATTTTTTTCTATAGTTTCAGAGGTATAACCACAAGTTTCTTCAATGTAATTTGCAATAATTCTGTAAGTAAAAAATACGCCTATATCTTCTATTTTATTTACTACGTTAGAAGTATTTTTGGTGAATATCGGTGCGTATGATGCATGACATTAGTTATACGTAAACATGTTTTAAAATAAACATAGTTCTCATAAAATTTTCTTCTGATATAAAATCGAGAAAATAAAACAAGATTTTATTAAACGTTCTTTTAAATGAGACGATTTATGTTCCTTAGAGACACAGAAGTACTATCATCAAAATCCAAAAAGTCCTGTTAAACATTTGATTTAGAATGTTATTCCTTTTTAATTAATTTTTCGAAAATATCTGTATTTTAAGATTTCAGATATATTATTTGATTATTGTTGCTCTCTAAAGTTGAGTTATTTATTTAAATTGGTTTGTAAATCTTCAACGATCCTTTGGGGGCGTATGATGTATGTCATTAGTTATACGTATATATATCAAAATTGACTTAAAAATATACTCGTCTCAACTCATATTTTTAAAATATACTCACCAATATTTGCATTTGAAATTTTCAGATATTATTTTGTTATTGTTGCTCTTCAAATTTGAGTAACTTATTTAACTTTGTAAATCATCATCGACCGTAGGGGTGTATGATTTATGTCATTAGTTATACGTACTGTAGCACAAATATCATGTTTCACAAAGACACGTTAAATTTGATTTTTTCTGTTACCTTAAAGAACGTCAGCATAAATTCAGATAGATAAATGTCTCTAATTCCAATACGTTTCACTAGGTCTTGTGTGCCTTATAGTTCATATGGCAAAATACATCAAGTTCAAATGTGTATTTTATTCTTTAAAATATATTCAACAAAAACATATTATTTCTTCAATATATTTTTGCTACAGGTTTTTCATTTGATATTTTGTATTTAAAATGAGACAAAGTTTGTTTTTTCCTTCAAAGAAAAATATAATTTGGCCTACCAGCATATACATTTCTTTATTTACATTCACAAAAAAATATATATTTTTATCTTCATTCATTTCATTTCCACCCAATTTATGCATAAATTATGATATTGTATTTTCTGCTTCTGTGTGTTGTTTTTTTTTTTAGAATTTGATTTATGAATGTTACGCACATCTGTTTTGTTACCGAAAAAAAAAACACAAAACATACCAACAAACAATGATGGTTGAAAATTACAAGATTTATTACAAATTAATATTTAATGTGCCTAAAAACCAGACTCGTCGATTTTTTCTGTTTGTTTGTGGTGTACTTTTGACAAATCTCTCAAAAAGGAATTATTTGCAATGGGGATTAGAAGATATGAAGAGCAAAAAACATATCTCTATAGTTAAAGTTTTCTTGAATAAAATTTGACATGAAGTTAAATTATTTAAAAGGTAGGTTAAGATGAAAAAATATGTCATGTGTGTGTTTTGTAGATTCCAGTCTAGGTTTTCTAGGAACTTGAAAGCCTACACAGAAAACCAATTAAATTGAAGGACAAATATTTATGGAACTTTCAAGAATCACTGTAAGGTATTTCTAAAAATCCATGTTAATAAATAAAAGCCAAATATGTGTAGATGTGATATAATAGACGAATTCATAGGTAACTATTGTCCTTGGCAGCGTATAACTATTGTCGTTAGTCATACGTCACATTGTCGCATTATTTCAACATTTTCATTTAATTGGTAATGCTTTGAAGAGGTAATATAATTTTTAAACAGATCATATTGTCATTTCGTCTTAAGGGGGTCTGAAATCTAACCTCTGTATAAGTTTCCCTTAAAATGCTTATACTTTTCATTTAAAGACATAAACCTAAGCATTAAAACGACAAAAACTTTAACAAATGGTCCTTAACGTTATTCACATTTAGGATGACATGCATGACTTCAGATTTATTATTATTTCAACCAAATGGCCTACATACAAAAGTGTGTTGATTGTGCTCGACACAAAGAACTCAAGGATATATTAGAGCACATATTTATATACAGAAAATATGTTGGCAGAAACAACAAAAACTATATATATTTGCTGTTTCACACTTGATAGAAAACATATAAATATAAATTGTTGTTGTCGTTCACAACATGTATGCATGCATGCAAATTTTCATTGTCCATAAACAAAAGAAAAACCAATTGCCAATCCTTTTTTTTGCATTTCTCCTCAGCCATATAATTTTTGGAAAATATTTACAAAATTCTATGGAACAACACTCAGCAATAACAAAAAAGTAATAAAACAAAACATTTTTTAATGGAATTAATGATGCATTATATTTAATGTAGTTGGGTTGGATTATTCAGCTTGGTTTTTTTGCTTATTTCTATGGTCTGATAATTGTAAGAGGCTTTTGGGTTATGCGTGTAATATTCATGCATCCTGTTACAAATATTCTAGTTTTTCCTATAAGGGACCATTATATATTGTAGGCTCTCTCTCTATCCCTTTTCACCCTTCAGAATATTTTCAAAAGTATGCAAAAATTCTATGAAATATTAGTATGCAAATACACTAACTTTTGAAGATACTGACTAGCTGGCAGGCAGGCAGGCCAATGTCTGCATTGTAGTTTTAAATAAGCACTATCAGGGACTTGTTGGCTAAGCATTTGGAAAGGGGATGAAGAGTAAAATCGTTTCTTTTTTTTTCTCATAGTCCACACAATGTAAACACATTTAAAGTAGTGTCTGTCTGTCGGTCCAACAATGGTCCGATCGTTTAGTTTCTTTAATCTGCCTGATTTTTAATGCATGTGCATGCATGCCCAGCAACTACTACTACTGCTATCAATGATGCATATAAATTCCAAAAAGATTGAGTTAAACTATGCTGAGGCAGAAACAGAAACATACACACAAACACTGGAGAAAATTCAAATATTGTGGTTGTTGTAGCAATGTAAGTATGTATTACATGAAATGTTTAAGGGGAATGGGTTAAAAAGGTTATTGGGAAATATG